AAAAAAAAAAAAAAGCCTAAATTCAATTACTGTCAAAAACTGAATTGAAAAACTGCATGTAACAGACAATTATTAAGCTCTTACTGCACAGAAACCCAGAGTTGGGTCTTTTTTTTCAGTAACCAATCTCTAGGATTTTTAAAAATACTTATATAAATAGGCTACTAAACCAAAAATTACATAGATAATCTTTATGCAAGGTGATTTTCTATTTTGTTATTCATTCTGGAGGCAATGATTTATTAACCTGGATAAAGATGCAATTACCAGTGTAATATATATATATATACATTTTTTTTTCACAAGTTCTAACAGGTTGAGTGAAAAAGGTCATCCAAAAAAAATATACTGGTGTTCCTTGTGGAAACAATCCCCTATGATACGATCTGATTTTTCCTGGACCTTGATTATTGCTGTCCTTGAAAGGACAACATTTTCTCTGCTCTCCGGGAACCGAGCTTAGTTCAAACTAAAATGTGAGGCAGCATAATTTTTTGGGGCGGGTTTGGAGGATATGGAACAACTGACCCCTCTCTCCACGTTCCTTTCAAGACAGGAAACTACATTTGCATCCCTTCGCTAATGATGGGCATCAAGTTTCAAAGAAGCGTCTGACCTGGGCCAGGGACACTGTCAGCTATCTTTGTAACTTTGAGAGGAAAGCAGGCGGTAGCTAAGCGTAGATGGTCGGCTCTCGAGACCCGGAGGTAGTAGGTCAAATAGGACCAGAAGGGGAAGCCTTGCCCTCCTCCGGACTTTGTCCCTCCCAGATTTCTGAGCTGGCGAGCAGCAGCTCCGCACTGCAGCCCGAGCCAATTGTGAAAGGCTGAACGAAGCCCAGCCCAGCGGAAGGAAAGGTTTCAGAGTTGTTTGTTTCTCCCTGATAAAGGAGCCCTTCCTTGCTTTTGCTTTTATTCTCTCTGGTATTGGACGGAACAACCCTCCAGAAGCAATTTAGAGTGATTGGTGAAAGGAAACACACCAAAAGCTCGCAGCAACAAAAAGGATGAAATTCTTTCTGCAGTGTCTTCAGCTTCTGCCCTTACTGATCATCTTCAGCTTAGAGTCGCTTCTGAAGCTTTTCATTCCTAAGAAGAGAAAATCAGTTACTGGAGAAATCGTCCTGATTACTGGAGCTGGACACGGAATTGGGAGACTAACTGCCTATGAATTTGCCAAACTTAAAAGCAAACTGGTTCTGTGGGATATAAATAAGGTAATAGTGCTCACTCTGTTTTACTTTTTGGCACCTTTGATCTGTAGACAGGAATGCATTCTGTAGGCAACATCCCCTTCCAGCATCTCTATAAAGTAGGTAGAAAAAACTACTATTGGTATTTTATAGATTCATTAATGTGTTTATGATTACAGGATAAATGAACTTAGACAATATAGGATTCCCAGTTACTACCCATCACTAATTTGGCATTGTAAACAAATACTTCCTTTTGCCCTGAAAATAATTTGTAATCTCCTCCAAAGCCTGATTTCGCTGACCCTTCTATCTTAATCAGATGGGGAAAGTAATCGTTTTAAACTAGTCTACTAAAAGTAAGAGGTTTGCACCTGTTAAGAAAAAAAAATCCTGGCCATTACTGAGATAAGTGGGTTTAAAAAGATAGCCAACAGAAAGCAACATTATTGGATCATAGCAGTTGCCAAAAGTAATTTTTAAAATTATCTTTTTGTTAAAAACGATATAAAAGAAAAAACTCTTTGAGGTGCCTGGCTGGCTCAGTCAGCAGAGCGTGTGCCTCTTGATCTCGGAGTCGTTGAGTTCAGGCATGAAACTCCACATCATGAGTGGAGTGGCAGAAACTCCACATCAGGCATAGAGTTTACTTTAAAAATAAAACGAAATAAAACATTTAAAAGAAAGAAAAGAAAAAAAACCTCTTCAATGTACACAGTGTTTTACAAGAATAGGTGTAGGCTTAAGGAAGAGAGGAGGACTTTGAATCTAATCTTTTATTTGGCCAATGGTAGATGGGCAGAGAGGTTTCCAGAAGGCACCTGAAGGCCTGAAATGCCATCCCTTACACGTTAGTCAGCACCCAGTGCTGTAAATAAGAATTTAGGGATTGCAAATTTAGATGAGAGTTCACCCAATGAGTGTGTAATTGAGATAGCAATCAACAAGCATTTTTTGAATATCTGTTGCATAGATTGTTAAGAACACAGTGCCAAACAGGACATAGGGTCCCCTGCCTTCAATCTCATAGGGAAAATAGACTTTAAATAATTATGTGCAATGAAAGATACAAACGAGGCCCAGTCCAATCTGATGTGGTCACTGGTGGTGAATGTCTGGCAGGTTGGTATGGTCAGACTCAGCAGAGCTCTCCACTTCTTCACAAGCTACCTTCTAACTTCATAGAGCTTTAGGTTCCTTTTCTGTAAAAGGAATAAAATAACAGTACTTGCCTTAAATTATACCAAGTAGCAGATATACCAAATAGCATGCACAAAGCATTTAGCAGTGTCTGGCACATGGTAAACACACATTAGTTCTTATTCACAAAGTGAAGTTTAAGCTACCATTGAAGAATTCAGGTATAAGTATTAGGTTACACATCTGTGTTAATGACTCCCAATGCCCTGTGCCCATTTGTACAATTTTTTTCTGCTTTGGAGTCAAGTGCTTTTATCCAACAAGTATTTATTGAGCACCTACTATCTGCCAGACACTATTCTAATGCAGAACTGAGGACACAGCAGTGAGAAAAACACAAACCTTATGAACTAGGGACAATAAACAGGATTGCTGTATAATAAACTATGTAATTGCTGGATGGTGATAAGTATAAAGAAAAAGTGTGAAGGGGAGAGGGACTTTGTATGGTAGGTGGAGGACAGGGATCGTGTTGATCTTATACACAAAACCTCACTGAGATGGAGATAGTTGAGTCAAGATCAGAAGAGGCTAAGGGTGCAGTGAGCCCCTCACCTGTCTCTGCAGAAAGGGATCAGCAAATGCAAAGCCTGGCACAGAGTGAGGGAAAGGAGAGAAGTAAAAGAAAAGTCTAGATCTGTGCTTTCCAACACAATGGTTAGTAATAGCTACTAGCCACTTGTGGCTGTTGAGCATTTGAAATGTGACTCATCTGAATTGTGACATAGGTGTAAATACACACAGGATTTCAAAGACAGTATGAAAAAAAGTATGTTGAATATCTTACAGCTTTTCTGTGGATTACATATTGAGATAGAATATTTCATTATAATAATAAATATTCCAAAATAATATTTTGGATTATTTTCAGTTAAATAAAACATATTACTAAATTAAATTTTATTTTCTCAGGTGTGGCTAGCAGAAAAATTGAAATTAAGTACGTGGCTCACATTATATATTTTTATGAGACAGCGCTGGTCTAGAAACTTAAGTAGCAGCAGCTCCAGACCATAAAGTTTCCTGTAAACTATTGTTTGTGCTTTGGCTTTTCCTGGGAGAGCCAATGGAGGATTTTGAGACAGATTCTAGGCTGCTGGGGGGCAGGGAGAGCGGTTAGGAGACCCACAGTAATCCAAGCAAGAGATGATGCTGGTTTTGTAGGCCAGAGAGGTAGTAAGGGAAGTGGCAGAAAATCAAGAATAATGTAGTATTTGTTAAATTTATTTCATTTAAATAAGCCTTCAACAATTTTGAGATTATATCC